GGCAGGTGGACCCAGGGGGCCCGGGCCGCGCCTCTGTCCCTGCGCGCTTCGCTCTCCTGAGGTCACTTTCCAGGCAGTGCAGGCTCTTCTCGGGCGAGCGGAGTGGCCGCCTCTCTAAGGAATCGTGTTGCTCAGCCTTGCATTTCAGGAGCTCACTCTTCCCACTCCTTCCCTTCCCGGGATTGCTCGTGTAATTGCAATTGCCTTTCACTTTTCCGTAGCCTGTGGGGGAATGCTGAAAGGTCTTAGGAACAGCGGGGTCCCGGCGGTCTGGGGAATAAAGGGTACACTTTTAGGAGGGGCATCAGGTCCTTGGGTCTGGATGGGGCTCGTTAGGTGAAGTGTGCCTTCCGGGGGGCAGGAAGTAACACCCTAGCGGCCTGAAATAGTTAGCACACCTTCGACATACTTGCGGTTTACGCCCTCCCCTGTGGTAGGATTCTCATGTACAGTCTGGTGGCTTCTCCTGCCTCCATTTTAAGATGAGGGCAATATGGGGTGGGGGGAATGGGGACAGCGATGAACAGAGAGAGAAGCCAGAAACCTCTGTCCTGGGTTGAAGCCCCTGTGCATTGGAGTCATCCTTTGTAAGCTCTGTGCGGAGCGAATTTAAAATACCTTCTCTGCTGCTGCCACTTGGTCTCCGCTATTCTAACCTCGCTTTAGTAATTTTGTTCTTCCTCTGTTCTTGATCTCTTGGTTTTCCTGCCCAGGGCTCCTCTGTCTTTCTGTGGGTCTCACAGTTTCTTTTTCTTTGTATCTTCACGTTTCTGTCGGGCCTGTTATTTTGTTTCTCTATAGCCTTTCCCAAGAGCTCCCGCGAGCTCATTGTTTGCCTTGTACATTCACTTTTGCTGAGCACAGGAACGTCAGCACACACTTTGCTCTGCGCCTCTCCGTTGCCATCGAGGTGAAGGGGTAGGACTGAGTAATCATTAAAACGCTGGCACTGAGTGACATTCAGTGACACTAAGAAATGGGCCATCTCTTGTTCCCTGTCGCCGCCGAGGTCTTTTTGGACTTTCTGGAATGAACCTTTTAAGGAATTTAAAAGCCTAATTAATACTTATAAAGATGAACAGGCATACCTTCCGATTATGCTCGCAAGACTCTCGTTTTCTATCTCAAAACATATCGTGTAACAACGAGAGTGTTTTGAAAGGAACACATATGAAATTTTGTCACCACAAACTTCATCGTTGCATAACTTGCAAAATAGAAAATGAGATCTCTAAAACAGACAGATTAAAGACGTCACAAATTAGAGCACTGTTAAGAACCTGTATTGGTCATGTCCTAAATTGTTTACCTACATGTTTTCCAAATGGAGAACACTAGAATTTGGTTTTTGATCATTAACTCCCACAATATCCTACTGAGGAAAGAGAATATGATGCACTGGACTGAATTTATTAGCAAGTGTGGGTCCTCCCACCCTGTGGAATGGCATCCACAGAAAACTAGGCCAGAGGCAGTAAACTAGTGCTTCAGAGCAGACACTACAGTTCATTCTTGACTGGGAAAATGTGCCTCCAAATTTCAATTTATTTCAGCATTTTTCAAAATGATCTCTGATATAATATGAGTTCATTTATTATGATGCCTGATTACTCGCATTTTATCTTTGGATTACAAGTGTCTGACTTTAACCAAAAAGACCTTTCTCTCAATGAAGTGAGTACTTGGGCATGGCCTAGTTCTACGATTTTTTTCTCTTTCTCCAGTGTTCCTCTGAGCAATCTCTTATCAGCCTGTATTCGAGACTGTACATTTTGTTAACTTCATTCACTGGGTCTTATAGCTAACTTTATTAAAATAGTTTGCATAAGCCCAAGGTCTTGGAGGGGAAGGGAGGCTTGATAATGGAGCTTACTTTTTTTTTTTTTTTTGAGCCTGTGCCGTGTACCAAGTTCTATGTTAGGGGTTTCACATATGTTGTCTCATTTCGTTCTTACTGAAATCCTGAAAGTAGGCGGTATTAGTCACACTTTACAGATGAGGCTCAGAAAAAGTTAAAAATGTAGCTCAGTTTACCAAGCTGGTAAGAGGCAGAATAGAAATTTCAGCACGGTCCATCTGTCTTCATGTGCTGTACACCATCTTCCCTCTCTGGGAGATGAGACTGCAAACCAGCCTTGTTCTGCTCCATCTCAGGGTTGGGCCAGAGGCCTTCTCCTTTACCTAAGTGTTCCCCAAGTGAAAGGAAGGAATTTTGCCCTGAAAGAGCCGGGTTGATTTTTGTCTCTGTCTTTGTGTTTAGTCTTTATGCTCATGGGTTTAGATTGTACATCACTCCAAAACTCTTGGTGCCCTGGGATAGAAGTTACAGATGAAATCATTCAAATCTTACCTTTGGAAATATAGGTCAATTCCCATTACTGTGAACTCCAAGTCTCACATCAAATATTGCTTGAAGTACGTGGGCTGTCAGCCAAAGCTTGAAAGGGTTTTTGTTATACAGACATCTCTGTTGTAATGGTATTAGTTGTGATGGGATTTGAGCTGTATAATGACATTCCTCTCAGAGGATTATAGTCCTTAGGCTCTTACTTTGAGAGAGCAACAGCCACCACTTTTCTTTATACTGGACACCTGTGTGTGTCATATGTTATTTGCCTCTTCATGTAAAATGGGACCGCACGTTTACGTTGGTCCTGACTCTGCTGGCGGAATACAATCACCGTCTTTTCCCCAGAGTGATATCGGAGCCTCAGAAATTAGAGTTGTGGAGGCGTTCTCTAAACACGGTGTAAACGATCTAAGTAAGGCTTTGGAGTGGCCTTGATTCACTGCCTTACTGATGTCGACAGTTCCAAGGCAATTCACCTAATCCAGTTGAATCACATTTTTCCCCTCACTTTGCATCTGATGTTCTGTGTCATCTTTGAGGCGTCAAACTTTTGTTCCATTTTTTAAATCATCCCGTAAGAGTTAGAGCCTACGCTACCTGTTTCTCCTCCCTATAGATGGAGATATTGACCGTGCAGGCTCAGCAACTCTGGGATGCCTGGCTGAGTCAACTGCCTCACCTCCTAGGACTTGTGGAGAGGGTGTTTTATTCCGTGGTTGTTGGTCAAGTCTGTGGATGACGAGAAATAATACCACACAAGAGTTAAGAGTATGGCTTTTGAAGTCTAAATTTAATTTCTGGCTCAACCGCTCCTGGGCCTTGGCCTTGGCCTTGGGCACATTCCTTAATCACATCTGAACGGGGAGACCCTCCTCCTGGGGTTGCGGAGATGAAGTCATATGCTTTGCACAGAGCCGGAATAGGCTACCAGCTCGTGGTGGTGGTGGTGGTGGTTATTATTACAATTATTATCATCATCGCTGTCCCCAAGAACTTGAATCTAATAGGGACAGTGAGGCCAGTACACAGGTCACTATAACGTAAAAGAACATGAAATAAGTCTAAGTGAGAAAGAGATGAGCATATCTGAACTCTGGAGATTTGGGGGTGGGGGTGGTGTGTGAATAAGTCGTAGCTAGCAAGATAGGAAAAGGTGGCATCTTTATCAAATCTTGAAAAAAAATTAGGATTTCAGTAAGTAAAGACAGAGTTGAACATTACAAATGGATGAAGTGGCCTGATTCAGGTGCGGAGGTTAGAAGATGCAGGGCGACTTCTGGGAACCATGACTTCTCCCAGAGTTCAGAGGGAGTATGAAATCCATGAAATAAAATGGAAGAGAGGAAGTCACGATGTCTAGGAATATAGGCTCCACCCAGTTCTCAGAGAGCCTGAATTCTCAGGGTGAAATATTTGAATTTTATTTGTCAGACAACTGAGGGTCTGCGAGGGGGACTTTAGCAAGGGGAGAAGGGGCCGGGGGGCTGGTGCAGTGTGCCTCTAAAATGCATGGAACCTAAAGAGGGACAGTCTGTACAGAGGATGGAGAGGGAGGAATTGAGGGGCGCAGACATGAGTGCCGGGAGGAAGGAGACTCGGTAACTAAATGGGGACAGTGATGACTGGGAAGTTCAGGCATAACTGGGAGAAATGGGAAAGCAGTCGGCAACGGTGGGAACAAGGCAGGGGCCGAATATTTCATATTCAGTTCAGTTTTGACTCTGTTGAATCTGAGGTGCTGCTGCAGGAGAGCCAAGGGGGACACGGGCCTAGAAAAGCCACTGGACTCGGCGGTGGGAAGGACTGCAGAGCGTTTCAGAGGGGCGACGGCGGCCGGCGTTGGGGGAGGACTGTGAGGTTTGCGTGCGGGGCTGGGATCCGAGACCACCCTCTCTAGTGGTCTGGTCGTGAAAGAAGGGGCTTAGCTATAGCTTGTTTTTTAAACAAAAGGTGAGAAGGTAGAGCAAAAGGTGATAGCGAAAGCGTGAGGAAGACAGGAATCAGCGTCCTCGAAGAGACAGGAGCGTCTGAAGAGCTACGCGGCAGGGCACAGAGACGGGAGGAGGTGACGGCAGCAGAGCTCGTGCCAGTCTGATGGGGGGACCAGTCCCCAGGGCGGATGGCCCTGCTCTTCTCAGGAGCGCGTACGTTTCTGAGGTGGGCGGCGGAATCGAAACCTTAAGAACGGAAACGGTTTTAAATGACAGCGCCGGGAATTCTGACGAGGGGAAGAAAGGCCGGCGGGGCACACTTAGACCGTGGCGATGTAGAGTGGGCCCTGCGGTTTGGTTCTGTGACTGTCCATCGGGGGTGAGCAGAGAAACGGAATCGTGGGGAACCTGAAGCTAGAGATGACTAAGACAGATGTGGCGGAAGGTCAGGAAGGGCACTGAGTGCACTAGAGCGTTCTCAGAGGCCTAAGGTAGGGAAGCTGATGAAGGCAAAAGGTAACCCCTGGTCTGGAAAAGAAGGAAGGATCGAGAGGTTGGAGGTAGTGATTGGGTCGCTGGAGGTATGGACAGCAGGTTCAGCGAGACCAAGCTCAGAACCACCAACTGGTAGGTAAAT